GGTAAATATTACTACTGACACATGACCTATGTACAGAGGATCAACACATGTGTATTACTGCTCATTACATAGACCACCAGGGGAAGCTTCACAAAAAGATTATTTCCTTTGTCCAAGTTACTTCTCACAAAGGGGAGTACATTGTTAACGCTCTTGAGAACTATCTGTTAGAGTGGGGGGCTAAAAAACATCTTTTCTATCACTGATGATAATGCAAGCAGTAATGATACGGCAGTAGGCTTCTTCAAGAAAAAGCTTGCTTCGTGGGGTGCTTCTCCTGTTAAACTAAAGTATATCCACATGAGATGTATTACCCACATTCTTAACTTGGCAGTTCAAGATGGCTTAAAGCAATCTGACACTGCTGTGTGTAGGGTTATGGAAGCAGTTAAGTATGTTAGGAATTCTCCTGCTAGGCTTCAAAAGTTTAAGGATATATCTGACTTAATTGGGGTGGAAGCTAAGTGTGGGTTACACATTGATGTTCCAACTAGGTGGAATTCCACATATTTAATGCTGAAGTCAGCCTTATCTAATGAGAAAGTGTTTGAAGCTTGTGAGGAGAATGAATCAAGTTATTATGTTGATTTAGGTGTAGATGTTCCACCTAAATTAGAATAAATCACGTTATTCGGTTTGTTCTGTTGAATTCCACATATTTAATGCTGAAGTCAGACTTATCTAATGAGAAAGTGTTTGAAGCTTATGAGGAGAATGGATCAAGTTATTATGTTGATTTAGGTGTAGATGTTCCAAATGTTATGGATTGGATTTCTTGTGAGTGTATGGTGACAATTCTGCAAAAATTTCATGATATGACACTTATGCTTTCAGAGTCTCTCTATGTTACTTCTAATACTTTCTTCTCAAAAGTGTTTGATCTGTTTCTGGTCCTCAAGACTAGATCAAGTCAGATAAAACTTCAACAAGCAGCATGAGACGTACTATGAAATCCAAATTGGATAAGTACTGGGGTGATTCTGAAAAGATGAACGATCTGATATTCTTTGCAAATGTTCTAGAAACTAGGGACAAGTTTGAATACATGTCCTTTCAATTCAATGCTTTGTATACTGAAAAAAAGGGTGAGACATTCTTTGCAAGTATCAAACTTGCTCTGTCTGAATTGTTTGTTGATTATGTCACTAGTTACATAGAACGTGTTAATGGAAGCTCAGAGTCAAGCTCAAATTCTGCTACTTTACTAATCTGTGAGGCTAAGTCTGCCAATCCAGTCTCCAAATTCAAAGCACAATTGAAAAAAACAGAAACTAGAGAGTGGGCAGTTGGGTTTGAAAAAATTGAGTTGGAAATTTATTTGAGTGAGGCTATACTTGAGGAAGATAAAGAGTTTGATATCTTAAGATGGTGGAAATTAAATAGTGAGAGATTCCCTATACTGTCCAAAATGGTTAGAGATATTCTTGTCGTTCTTATCTCCACAGTTGCTTCTGAATCCACTTTCAGTACTAGTGGTAGAGTTTTAGATTGTTTTAGAAGCTCTTTGACTCCTAAAATAGTGGAAGCCTTAATTTGCACTCAAGATTGGTTGAGAATGCACAACCAGCCTCTATCAATTGAGGAAAATATGGAAACAGGTTAGGTTAATTTCATTTATGCTGCTTAAACTAATGTTTATATTTGTTTATATGTAAATGTGACATTGTTTTTTTCCTCTGCAGAGTTAATAGATGGGACCTATAATGCTTTCGCACATGCCTCTGGATCTTCTGTGGATCCTACACCTGTAAACTTAATGGTTTACAATTTACTTATTTATTATAACCTTACAATTTTTTTACCAATACGTTTTAATATCATGTGTTGTTTCTGATGCTCATTTGCCAAGGTGACTAACAGTGGCCCAGTAGATGTTGGAAGTGTTGGTGTTGGATGTTTTTCACTGCCCACAACCCTTATTCGGTTTCTGCTTTTCTGGTGCTATTCATTTGCCCCTATGTTTTCCAGGATAAGTGCTTCTTCATTTACTTTTGTCTCTTGTTGTGTTTTCCAGTTAAACTGGTTGTTCCCCTTTTCGTAATGATGAAAGCTTCCACCATTTACTGAAATCAGATTGAGTTGGTATTAAATTTAGTTAATGTTAAATTGGATTTGGCCTCTTAAGAGTGTATCTTTAGATGGCTTGAAAGTTTGCACTAAATATTTTGGATGCCTCCAATCCGTTTTGAATTGAAAGAAGCAACCTGAACCAAAATTTATCTGCTTTATTGATTGTGAAACTGGTTGTTCCCCTTTTGGTAATGATAAAAGCTTCCACCATATACTGAAATCAGATTGGGTTGATATTAAATTTAGTTAGTGTTAAATTGGATTTGGCCTCTTTAGAGTGTATCTTTAGATGGCGTGAAACCTAGCACTAAATATTTTGGATGCCTCCAATCTGTTTTGAATTGAAAAGAAGCAATCTGAACCAATTGTGAAATTAACTTTGTCAATTATGAAATTAATTTATGGTATGTGATTATTCACACATTATTTCTTGACTACTTACCTTTTATGTGCAGGATTAAAGGTTAAATGGTATTGGAATGTATGAATCTAAGCTATGGACTTCATGAAGTGTTTCTCATTTGCTACTAATGGTGTTTTTTGACTACTTGCTCATTTTGTACAATTTGTAATTTAAAACTATACTTCTATCTCTTTTTGTTATGTTTGTAACTTAATACTACGTATGTTACAAATACTTGTGAAATATTGCTGGTAATGTGTAATTTGAATGTGTAGTTTCAAGTTTGTACAATTTGTGTCAAATTGCTAATCCAAATCTTTAAATATGCAATTTCCATGTGTTTTATTATAATCGATTTAACTGAAACCGATCCGATATCCGAAAATATCTGACTTAAAAATATGTGAAATACTAAACCTGAAAAATCCTAGGGTCGGGCTTAGTATTTATACTCCGTATTAAATAACCCGAACGGGTTTAGGGTACGCAGACCCGACCCGTCCAAAGCCGACCCGTGCACAACCATAATTAATTATTACTCCGTACATACTATAACGTAGAGTAATCTTCCGGTCCCTCCCTTCCTGACCGGAGTGCCGTCCGGCCTCTTCCTTTTGGGGAGGTTCCCAGTGGTATTTTTTGCTCAAATGTTTTGTGTATGTTCCTCATCAAGTCTAGTTCATCCATACCAAATTTGAGCAAAAACTTCCATCGGGAAGGCCGTCAAATGATTTTTGAAAGTTAACTGGTCCGGAATATACATATAAAACGCAGTTAACTTTCAAAAATCATTTGACGGCTTTCCCGATGAATTTTTTTTATCAAATTTGGTATGGATGGACTAGACTTGATGAAGAACATACTTAAAAAATTTGAGCAAAAAAGACCACCAGTAACCTCCCCAAAAGGAGGAGGCCGGACGGCACTCCGGTCAGGAAGGGAGGGACATGAATAATCCTCCTATAACGTATACGTTAATTATTATTCAGCCAAGATAAATATTTATTTCAAATAATACTTATTGTGTATATAATTATTATTGCGGAGTATCTAAATATGAAACAACTTAATAAAAAATATAATACAACTTAAAAGTTATATTACGCGTAAATAAAATTGTGAGTTTATGTTATTAATACTTAATTGATAAAGTAAGAATAAAATAAGATAGTGGCGGATATATGATTTAAGCTTTGGGTCTTCATTTTTTTCTATAATTAAATTTGAAGAGAGAATAAATAATTAAAGTAAACTTACACATGTATACTAACATATTTTTCAAAATTCTAGGTGTTCATTACATGAACACCTTTGAACTAAGGTGGTTCCGCCACTGAAATAAGAATAAATCACAATCAAACAAATTTACTAAATTTCGTATGAGACAATCTTAGTGGGACGGAACGAGAGGTTGAACAATCTTAGCAATGCAGAGGGAGTACAACGTTCAGATGTACTTCGTATTAGATATACTTCGTATTATCTAAAAGAGTGCATTTCAAGTTTATTAATGCTTCATACATGTCAATCTTATCTTTACTTTTTTATCAAAATTTGGTGAGTCCTGGATTATTTCCATGACCATCAAAAGTCCCATAATAAAAGCAACAATAAATATTGGATACAGGTATTTTTAGGAAATATAATATAAATTGTTTTGTTATATCCAAGCTATTGCAAATAAAACCCTAAATATAATAAAGTATTAAGAGGCCATTTGGTAACAATGTTTTTCGGCTTATCAGGCTTATCAACCAACTTTTTTACCAAACACGTAACTTTTACTTTCGCGCGCTGAATTATGTAATAAGCAGAAAAAGTAAGGTTGAAATTACTTTTCTGGTTGTATTGGCTAAAGTTACTGTAGATGACAATTTTAGGTATTTTTACATATAATTTTTTCTTTATTTTATTAATAAAATATATTTTAAAAATATTTTTTTATCAAATTAGCAGAATCAACTAATGTAGCCACTTCAGTCAGAACTTCATGAATGAGACAATTCCCTAAATAGGAGTAAAAACGTTTTGAAATTCCAAAATAGGAATATCATGTTTTTTATTCCCTGAATAGGAGTAAATTTCTTCCAAGTTTAGTTTTACAAGGCTTTAAAGATGGCAGTTTCTTCCAAACTTGGCAGATTACTCCTATTCAAGAAATAAAAAACATGATACTCCTATTTTAGAATTTCAAAACGTTTTAACTCCTATTTAGGGCAATTTCTGTTTATAAATTTCAGTAAAATCAGCCAAAACAGCCGATTTTGGTGCTACCAAACGGGCTCTAAATATTTCAGCTTATATACTAAAAATATACTACGCTTCTTACTAAATTCTTCGGATGCTTTAATAGTTAATACTGGAGTAATTTGCTTTATTACTTTACATAATTTGCACTTCCGTTACATAACTTATTAGTGGAGTAATTATTCAACTAAATCAATGTCTGAAATATGAATATGTAGTTCACTTTACAGGAACTAAATCATTAAGGACGTTTTCTTTTGGACTGAAATTCGCTGGTCTGGTCTGGTCTGATCTGGTCTGATCTGGTAAATGTCTGGTCTCTGTGTATTTTATAACTAGGGAAAACTGTCAAATAGGTCCCTGTACTATATGAAAAAAGTCAATTAAGTCCTCGTAATATTAAATCATCCAATCAAATCCTCCAACTACAAAAAAACTGTCAATTAAGTCTTTCAGCCGGTAAACAACCGGTAAACGTTAACTTATACACATGGCTGGTCCACGTGGCAGACTTTTCCTTTTTTTCCTTTTCTTTTTCCCCTTCTCTTTTCCTTGGTTTTCTTCTTCCGCCCAAGCCCCGCTGCACAACATCTTTACAGAGTATGTTATTTCCTCTTTCCTTCTTTCTTTTCTCCACCCCAATCTAAAGAAGCTTGCCATTTTTTCATCTCCGGAACTTCAGCAAGTACAGAGGAGGATGGGTGCTGCAAACGACGTGGACCATGGGTGCTGCCACTTGCCTCAGATGATCATATCTTCTTCTCCGATGCGGGGCGTGCCGACGAAGTTGTGCACTGGCTCACCGCTCATCAGTCTTCTTCTTCTCCATCCATCTGGTTCTATTCAATTCGTTGCTTTGCTGCAAAACTAGTTGGCACCGGCATGATGGCTGCTGTGATCAGGGGCGGATCTGGGCCTAGGCCAGGGCGGGCCTAGGCCCACACTCAAAAAAAAAATAAAATTACTAGTATATATAGGTGTTATATTATATATATTGTTGTTAAGTTATGATATAATTATATAGAATGTCAATTTGAACACAAATGCTCTATTAGCAACATGGAAGGAGACCCCCACCAACTTGAACATCCCAGGTTCGAAGATCATGTAGAGCATGATTTTTTCTTTTACTTTACAATGGTATAGATTAAAAACTTCATTTTTCTTCTAAAATCTCTATGTCCCACACCTATTATATTTATTTTTCTTTGACATTGAAGTTGCAACATATTTTATTTTACTACTCTCTCCGTCACTTAAAACTTTGTCAACTTTCTTTTTTTTAAATGTCCATCTAACTTTACCACTTTCCTTTTAAGTACAGAATTTGTGGTTCCGGTTAATTCTCGCTCCTCTGCACAAATCTCTATCATACAGTTTTTATTTTATTAATCTCTGTAACGTCAAACATGACAAATTTTTAAGGGACGGAGGTAGTATTTTACTACATTTTGCCAATTATTTTTGCAATACGCGTTATTTAATTAAAATTTGGCCCCACCTGAATGGCAATGCTAGATCCGCCCCTGGCTGTGATGTCGACGGAAAACGGAAGGATGACTGCTGCGATTTCGTCACAGGTCTTGGGCTATCTTCCACATGTTTACGGGCGAGTTCACCAACGAAAGGAATGGTCAGTGTTGTGACTATGGTGGGGTGGCAAAAGAAGAGAGGAAAAATGGGTCCTGGGTTTGCCGGTTGGGTGCTTCGCCGAAGAAGAAAGTAACGAGGGAAGAAAGAAAGAGTTGCAGGGAGGAGATGAAAGAAAAAGAGAAAGAAAAAGGATAAGAAAATCAAAAATAAAAAAAATGCCACTTGGGCATCCAGGTCACAAGTTTCACCGGCGAAACTTAAAACAACCGGCTAAAAATCAAAATTGGATTTTCTTTTATAGTTGAGGGACTTGATTGAGTGATTTAATAGTAGGAGGACTCAATTGACTTTTTCGATATACTACGAGGACTTATTTGACAGTTTTCCCTTATAATTACGAAAGTCTGGTCTGGTCTGGTCTGGGACTGAAAACAGTCCAAAAGAAAACATCCTAACATGATGACCTATGAGATAATGAAGAAACTACTCCATAATCATGACAAAAAATTCTCCACATGCCACACACATATATACCGCACATATCGTCGAATATTATTACAAGAATATTACTACGTATTATATATTTAAACATGTATGCTAGATATAAATATTACGTAGTACTAAATTTCCTCGAAAAAAATTTATTATTAAATTAGTAATACTATATTTGTTGCTTAATTAAAACATTGCTATTTTTTCTCTTCATGTCAATGATAGTAAATTTTGAACCATAATTTTGAACAACTAATATAAAAGTTATGGAAAAAAATTGACTTAATAACGCAACTTTTAGTGACTATAAAAGTTACTACTTAGAATACCAATTAGTTATTTTATAGAACACTATTTAGAATAGCAATTAGTAACTTTTTAGTTACTAATTAAATAGGATATACCAGTTAGTAACGTAACTTAATTTAAAAAAACTATTAGAACAATCAACCGGCTTCTAAGATAATGGAGTGCATACGAAAACTTCAAAGAATACAAACTTCAACACAATTCATCTTTTTTTTCGATCTTCTTTTTTTTTAGCTATTTTTGGTGCCATCTTACGGTAGAATTCCTTTAAAATTACAACAGAGACAATTTTGAGTTATGATTTTTTTTGCAATGACAATAAACAAAAGTCAATGACCCGTTTTCTCACATGTTCAATTCTATATTGCTATACACAATATTCATGTTATTTTATTTTTAACCGGCTCAGTACCAAATAAATACTCCGTATGTACTAATATGTAAACATAAATTTCAAGCCTTGACACAATTTCAAGAACTAATAGTTAGGACGGCTCTGTCTGATAAGTACATGTAATTTGAGGCGTCACTATTACATTTTTAATGAGGACGGCTCCATCTGACAAATATATGTAACTTGAGGCGTCTTTATTACATTTTTATGTTTAGTTTAATGATGTAGTTTGACCTTATAATTCATTTATTTAGATTCCGCATTTTCATATACAATTTCTTTTAATATTTGTCACTTATAATTTATTTTTGTCTTTATATAATATGAACCTATGATGTATGAAGTTTTATAGTTAATAAATCTGGAGAACATACAACAATGGAATGATTTAACATTATAAAATAAACATAATAAAGTTTTTTTAATATAATCTAAGGATTTATAAAATAATTTTTTCAATGTGGTTGTCATGTTTTTTTATTGGTAAATCTACTAATGTTTTGTTAAATGAATCTAGTTATATTAAAGCTCATCTGTAATGACTATATTATAGAAATTAGTTTTACGAAATATTAGATAAGTCTAACTTTAAAAAGTGATGAGCATTGGTATGCCACTATAAATTAAAATGAGCACAACAAAAATTGTAGATGAAAATACGCTAATGAATACACTTCAATGAATAATTCAATTTATAAGTTGAAACAAATAATTAGGTTTATGATTTATAGAAACTAGTTTTTCACCTGTGCGTCAAACTAACTACATAGTCACTAAAAACTCTTAAAATCTGCTAATTTAATACGGAGTACTACGTAATAATCTTGAATTTTTCCAAGAATTCTACCTCATTGTCAGATTAACATAGCACTCCGTTGAAAGTGACGTAATATCAAGTTAGGCAAGTTTTCCAATTGAGTACATATATATATCCTAATGCTTCTTCATCATAGGTAGACCTTCCATAACAATATTTCAATTTATATTTTTATTTGAATTTTTTAGAAAAGAGAAAAATATATTAGTGGTGGAATCAAGGTAAAAAGGGAAAAATGAAATAGATAAGCGGAAATAAAAAGAACGTAAAGTAAAAAGGTTAGTGGTGTGAAAAAAGATCTTTTAAAAGAAGGGGACTAATCTGAAAAAATACATAATAATGGAAATAAAATAATAAACGGGAAGAAGAAAAATATGGATTGAATAAACACAGAAAAGAAAGAATAAAAAGATGAAAAAGGGAATAAAAGAGTCAAGAGGATAAAAATAAAAAGAGAAAACTTTTAGGTTGAAAAAAAAGAAAAATGATATGTGAGACCGTTTCAAGAAGATTTGTGAAATGTGAGATTCATTGTTTAATGTTTTGCAAATAAACATACAAACATACATACAGACACTATATTATCTCATGTCAACCATAACTGCTCACTAAAAGGTGAGATTATTAGTACAAAAAGTGAGATTATTCCTAAATTACGTTTATGTGGGACTATTGTAAGAAGCCTTCTAAAAGGTTAGCTTATTTTTTTTTTTTTTTTGCAAATAAAAGGTGAGCTTATTAGTTTCCATTTTTCCAAAACAAAATGGGAAGACTTTTTTATGTAACGGAGGGGGTATATTATTAGTTATTCAAAGTGCATGTACTGATGTACATATGATTGTGTTATATCTATTGCAAAGCTGCCTCACTTTTGGGGCATTTTCCATTGAAAACTTATAAATGTAAATTATTGAGCAGGTACCTTTCGGCCTCACAAGAATGCTAGTTAAGGGCCTTAAGACTATGCAAGTCAGCGGTATTGAAGGAAATTTTCGCTCTATTTGTGGAAATGTAATGCAAGTTCTTCTGACGAATAAAGACAGTGTAATGGCTATGATGGAGGCAAATATTTTGTTTTCCCTTCAATGCTTTTAATTTAATGTCTCAATTGTGCTGAATGAATTTTTTGAAGACACAAAAAAGTAAAATGCAGAGAAGAGCACTTCTTTCCAAATTTGTTGAGGAAATATTGAAATAAACCTTCCAACTATCTTTCTACATAGTTATTTCCATCTCTTTCAGGCATTTGTTCATGATCCACTAATAAACTGGCGGCTTTTCAACTTCAATGAAGTTCCTCAAATGTCTACACTACACGTCCCTGCTGCAGTCAACAGTGAGGAATCTGCTTCCAAAGAGCTATTTCAACCACAAAGAGGTGCCAGGGAGAAGGAATTGCTTCAGGTGGCATATATATAATATATACATATGTACATGCACTTCGAGAATAAAAGTCTCTTCCTTTGGGGTATTATATCAACCACAGGCTCTATTGCCGAACCAAAACAAAAAGCTTGGTTCGGTTCTGTTCAGTTTTATGTTCAAACATTTAGAATCATGATTTGTTCGGTTCAGTTTATTTCGGTTTCGGTTTTTTGGTTTCTGACAAAATTTTCTTGTTGATTAAAAAATAGTGGTTGAAAAACAAAAACAAAAAAAACTACATCAAACTATAATTAATAGCAATACAATACAAAAACATAAATTAAAAAAGAGAGAAGAAACAAATGCACTTTCAAGCAATGAATTAGAGAGTGTATATCAATTATCAATTTAAACATTTTCTAAATTAATTAAACGCATAAGTTTATTTGCGAATTATACATAGTGTATTCGCAAGTTAAAACTTTATTTATAAATGTTGTGTCCACTAATTCATTTTCTTTTTACTAAAAGACATTTATTGATTGTAAATAATTTATTCTACTTTCTTTTTAGACAAAGATGTTTATGCTATAAAATTTCATGTGTTCTGTTATGTTGTTTAAAGTGCAATTTATTTTAATACATATTTGATCAATATAAAAAATTATGTGATCACAAACACACATAACAAATAATATATCAACAAAATATCATTATCATGCAACAACATGCAAAATGTAAACTACGATTTAAAATATCAATATGTTAACATTATAGCAATAGAATTAAGTGTATGTAGACTATGTACGAGTATTTCACTTAATTAAACCATAAATTAAATATCAAATGTCAATATCTTGCAAATCATAATCAATCTAGTATAATTGTATAAAACATTAATTTTCTAGAATTAAAAATTAAGAACTAAATAAAATAGTAAGTTTTAAAAAGTTCAGTTTGTTCGGTTCGGTTTTGAGATGTGAAAACCAAAACCGAAACCAAAGAAGTATGGTTCGGTTCGTTTTTAGAGTTCAATTTCGATTTTTTTGCCGTTCGATTGTTTTGATTGTGGTTCAAGCTTTTTCGATTCGATTTTCGGTTTCACCGACACAACCCTAATTTTAAACCGTAAATTACAATTACATGTATTAAATTAAAAATCTAATACAGATAAGCCAAACACAAAATCAATATACTCATGGTACCAATAATTACAGAGTAGTCTTGTTTTCACACAATGTGCGCATCTTCCTTAAAAATTGTTGAATCAACTAATTAATTAATTAATCAACAATATCCGCACACAGGGATAATTTCAACAGCATAGAAATTAATTAAAGACAACAGGGCAAGAAAGAGAGTCTTCAGCTTGCACTCTTGAATGGGATGGCTCTGATCACAACTTGGTGGTACAGTGCGGCAAGAGCAGCTCCGATGAAAGGTCCGACCCAGAATATCCACTGCAAACAACACACAAAACATACATTCATCAGCTTTGAAGAACCCGATGAGCAATAACTGTGATTCCCGGACATGGAAATCTTAATAATCATTTACAGAAACAAAATAAACTCACATGGTCATCCCAAGCTTGATCTTTGCTGTAGATAATGGCAGCACCAAGACTGCGGGAAGGATTGATGCCAGTTCCAGTGATGGGGACGGTGGCCAAGTGAACCAAGAAAACTGCAAATCCAATTGGGAGAGGAACCAAGAAAAATATAGCCTTGAAAGAAAACTCTGGACTACCATTCTTTGCTGGACTCTGGGCTACTACTGACACGCCTGAAAAAAAAAACTGGAATTGAGTTGAAGCTTGAAGTCTTGGGCCGGACAGTACTCCCAATAATTATATACTTATTGTGTATATAATTATTATTGCGGACTATCTAAATATGAAACAACTTAATAAAAAATATAATACAACTT